AAGCAGTTTGTTGAACTACTGGAGCTCACAAGCTTCTACTCGCGGGTCTGCACGAGGTGACTCCTTCATTTGTTTCCTCAACAAAGTCTTTTGGCACCCGCCAATCACCACACACCTGGACCCCCCGGGACCCCCCGGGACCCTCACCCCCATGATGGCCGGCTCACACGTCGGAGACAGCCGTCACCAACTGGCTACTCAGCCCTCGCATTTACGAATGCATGAACTGCAATCTGTGGAAAAAGATCTTTGTATTATAGAAACCATAGCATTGCACGTCCCAATACCCCATGGGAGGTCGCGGGAGCAAGCTTTCGCTTGCTCCCTGCCGGACGTTAATCAAATTTACCTACCTACCTACCTTACCCTGCTTCAGATGTTCTTATATATATAAACCATACCTAGCTAGGTGTTTGATTTTCATTCGACACATTGAACTTGGGTATTCGGGAATGCGCTTCAATATCCTGACGTGACTTCTGGCATCCAAAACTAGTTTTGGATTCAAGCCAACTCGCTCGGACTATCTATTGGGTAACAGGTATCACGACGCTTTGCTAGTGGGAGTTTCGGTCTGTAACCCAGGTCGGACGGGATCATCACCTGCTACTGATTAGGCAGCGCAACTATCTTGTTTGATTCCAGAAGACTTTTGACCAGGACATGGCCATCGAGGATAGGGATCAGATCTACATTAAGCTGCGCATCTTGACTGAGAAGAAACTATATCTAATTCAATACTAAATCACCATGATCCAAATCTTTTTTTACAACAATCGCCCTGCACTGGTGAGGCATCCATGTGGAGGGCTCAAGAAGATGGTGATCTCGGTGTTGAGCCGAGTAACACACGCAGCAAAAGACACCCCAGTTGTAGTTTTACTCCCTTTCAACTTTAACCCTAGCATGATGCATCATCGCATGGCAAGTGCGCGATATAAGGCTCCTTTTCGTACGCTATATCTCATTCATATGGCCCTATCATAGGATGTCGCTCTCTGTACAGATGCTTGTCTTTCTTCTTATAGGTTAGGAGACTCTTACTTTCTACGGATGGTGCATATATATATCAGGCTCTAACCTTCTACTAGGGGTACTCAGCTCTTTCTACGGCCATGTCAAGGCAAACTCCAAGAACGCATCTTATGTCACCTCTCTTGATATACACAGTTCACAGCAAAAAGTCACCTATTGTGTGCCCTAGATTCCGAATGTGAGTTTTGTCAGGCGCAAATAATTAGCTCCAGGCAAATTGAAATGTGGATTATTTACTATTTGTTCTACCCACACATGTAGTGCAAAGAAGGACTCCAATGCTGTTTCTTCATGTGTACAGACACCGCGTCAAATCCGGGAAACTGTGGAGCCTGCGGTGCCATAGTAAGTTCTGATTGCATTTTATTACTCTGTAGACACATTGATTCTCACAAATCTTCTGAACTATAGTGCGTCGTCGGCTCACCACCAACCTGTTGCGACGGAGTATGTACGGATTTGAGCTCGAGTGTGGAAAATTGTGGAGCGTGTGATGCACCATCAGTTAGTATCAAATTCGGGTCTTGGGATATTTTCTAATCAAACTTATTTACCACGCCTTCATTGCAACTAGTGTACTGGAACTCAACCCGCCTGCTGTTCTGGTCTGTGTAAAGATCTGGATAACAACTTCGCCAGCTGTGGTGCATGTGACAGAACCGTGCGTAAAGTCCCACTTTGACCGGAGCATATTGCTAGCACAAGATTCGAAGTCTATCTGCTAAGAATTTTTTTGCGGAATAGTGCACTGGTCAAGTATCAGCCTGCTGCTCAGGCTTCTATGCTGATCTCGCTAATGATCCACAGAATTGTGGTTCTTGCAATGCAGTCCCCTGTCTTGGGCAGCAGGCTGGCTGCTGTGCGGGTAAGTGTACTGATTTCACGACCTCAACTACCAATTATGACTCATGTAGTAGTATGGTAAGCCAAAGATCTGTTCACTTCGTTGATCTACTGAGTGGCTCATCTATCAATATTTAGTGTGGCGGAACTACGCCAGCTTGCTGCTCTGGGACTTGCAGGGACCTGAGTAGTGACCCCCCTACACTGCAGCTCTTGCACAGCTCTCCCTTGCCCTGGTCTCCATCCTACCTGTTGTTCAGGGATGTGCACTGATGTTTCCTCAAATGTCAATAGTTGTGGAGCTTGCAATCGTACTGTGAGTTAACCATTGCCCTACTCTGGGATAATATCGCCGCCTCCACAGTGACCACCTTATCTAAATGATACTATGATGTAATAGTGCACTGGTGCAAGCCCTGCATGCTGCAGTGGATCTTGTGCAGATCTAACCTCCGATCCGAATCCATTGCGGCTCTTGTTCAGCTTTGCCATTCGTCGGACTCAGACCAGGCTGCTGCTCTGGCGAATGCGCTGACCTAGCTACTAATTCACTTCACTGTGGAAAGTGTGCTACAACAGTGATATTTTCTTATTTTCGTATCAAATATCTCAGACTCAATTTAGGTGACTATACTGACAATCTAAAAGTGCCCAGCAAACCTACCAACCTGTTGCTCCGGAACCTGTACCAACACAGTCACCGACTCAAACAACTGCGGTGTATGTGGCGCCAAATGCACAGGCACCCAGCCCGCCTGCTATAATGGGGTCTGCACGGATCTTAGCACTGATCCCGCGCACTGTGGCAGCTGCATTGTCCTTCCGTGTCTAGGCTCTAAACCAACCTGTTGCTCTGGTATCTGTACAGATCTGGCAACTACTGAACACTGTGGATCTTGCTCAGCAAGTCCGTGTTCTGGTGTCAATCCGGCTTGCTGCTCGGGGACATGCGTCGATCTTAATACTAACGCTAACCACTGCAATTCTTGTTTGGCTTTGCCGTGTGGTGGAACACAGCCTGGTTGTTGCTTTGGTCAGTGTAAAGACCTATCTACCAGTTTGAAGTACTGTGGATCTTGCACTGCTGCGACGTGCACTGGCTTGCTGCCGGCTTGCTGTAATGGAAGGTGCACTGATTTGACGACAGATGTGGAGCGTTGCGGATCATGTAGTACAGCTGTGTGTACTTACCTACAACTCCTCTTATCGAATGCTTTCGATTAAAAGCATTAGATGGACATACTAACTCATGTTTCCATTTTCCTTTCACGGTGCAATCTCGGATCAGGAGGTGGAGTCTGTGTTGGCGGCAATTGTATCAGTTGCCCTACGAGCCAGCCTTTTTGTCGATCGTCGAACACATGTGTAAGTTCCCAACTGTGCCCTTTCAGAATTCTGAACTAACTCCCACAAACAAGTGCCCAGGTGGCTTCACGTGTATTAATAATGGTCCTCTACCTGGATGCTGTGGACCGTTGAATACCTGTCCGCCTTTGTCCAATCATCTCGGTGATCCTATCTGTGTAAGTGTGGCACTATATTCACCCGAATCAGCGTTCTGACTGGGCTCAAATAGTGTCCATTGCCATGTACTCTAATTATTGCGCATTTGGTTTGCGTTGGATTCTAGGCTGAAGCTCCTGGTGGATCCATGGGTGGAGAGAGACAGCGAGAAAAGTGGACCTGAATAAATGGCCTACGGATCATATACTGTAGCAGATTACAACATAGTGTATCAAGGCAAAGGTCGAATGTTCATGATGCGTTTTTTTTTATATTATGTATGCTATGTATAATGTCTCACGGAAATATTAACATTTAAAAAAGCCCGAAGTGAATCTGCACACTTTGAGTCTCGTTATCTTCTTGGCAGGTCGTTATATAGAGGACTCTTTCATCCAAGGCACCTGGACATCCAGGGCGTTGGCCACCCTTGTCGCGGAAGCGAGACATCCCTCAAGCAGAACCATCCCGTCCCAGCACCAACCACCAACGAGCCAGACGTTTCCATCTCCATTCCGCCAAAGCTGGCTCTTGTCCTCTGTAGACCTCTTCTGGCTGAAGATCTGGTTGATGGTTTGTCTGCTGGTGGACGATCGAAGAACACGAGTAAATGTGGCCGAGTGCAAGACCTTCTCAGGGTCAATCGGAGCAATGGGATAAGTCGTGATTAGAGCAGATGACGGGTGTTCATGGATAGTTTCGGTCGCCGTAGCATCTGAACACATGTGGAGTGGGTGAGGTGCAGATTCGCCGGGGTTCAAAGAAACTTGTGCCCAGAGGGATTTGCTAGAATCCCGAATGCGGGAAAAGTCGCGATGCACAATGGATTGAACGGTGGTTGTGGGAACGGCCTTCATTGCGCTTCGGAGAGGCTGGAAAATCGCGCCAACCACATCAGGCGTCACAGCCAGAACGACATGGTCAAAGAGCCGTGAGCTGCTCTGACCATCACGGGTATCTGTCCAGCTCACTTGAACTTTTGTCCCGACGTTCTCGACCGCCGTGACCTTCATACCAAGTTTGTATATCAAGTCTTCGGACAGTTTTTTCTCGACATGCTGAACTCCACCAAGAACAGTGTAGTGCTTCTTACGGAAGGTTCGTCTTCCATACCCGACCAGATCAAGAGCCGGGAAATCCATTAGCGCGTCGTGTGAACAAGTCGCGACGCTCGCGAAGACTGGCAGGAAGTAGTTCTTCACATAGTACCTGGGCAACATGATTCTCTCCACATATTGACGTAGAGATTCCTCCGTGCCGGATGACTCTAGCGTTTTCGGCGCCACAAAGAAGCAGCAGGCTTTGAACCAATAATAGCATATCGCCAGGTAGCACACCTCAATCAGCCACCCGGTCCACGGTAAGCCCTCCGGGCGCAGGGGAGGTAATTGGTGGTTATTTGAGGAATGCATGTAGTATGGAGAGGCTTGTTTTGTCGCACTGTCTGGTAGAGTCGACAGGGAGTAAATAAACCTTAACGAGCGGTATGGGATACCGAAATAATCGTACATTCGCTTGAGACTTTCGTAGTATCCGTCGGCGAATGTGCGCATGGGGAGATCGAGGCGTTCAGGCTTTGCGCCTTCACCATCCTGGTTTGTGAGATTGTATGACGCGGAGTCGAGCGAAAGTTTGTCTTGCTACGCGTTTTGTTGAGATTAGCCCATGTTCGCGCATACGGTCTCGCAGGTGAACAAGTTTTTTTTACCTTTTCGAATACTTCCACGTCGAATCTCCCCCGAGGATCGTTACTAAGTATATATGCGATCACAAGTCCAGCCATCCCTGTGCCAATTACGGCAACATTTTTGCGTGGTTCGTTCGCCCGCATTGTGGAGGAAAAAGGTAATTCACAGTTCCGGAAAAAGGAGAGCTTTGATGGTCATTTCTGGGGTTAAGAGAGAAGTTTAGAACTCGGAAGGTTCAAGAATTCGATTAGAACCCAAGTCGACCTGAAAAAAATCAGGCAACTTGCAACTTTTTCAATATTTTAAGCTTGGCCTTGGGGCAATGTTAATTGTGACCCACCTTTTGTCAGCAAGGGTTGTCGCGGCCTCGGTCTATTTTCTTTATGCAAAGAGAGAATGCATTGTACTCCCAAGAGCTCTATCACAAATCTCAGCCTATCTTTGAAAAAAGGTAGGCTACTCCCAATGTTATATATTGATGATGTCGAGATGCTCTTCTTCGGGTCACAATCATGGAGACCTCGTCGCTTATTCTCAACGTGGACACCCCATAGCACCATCCTGCATTTCAGCCGTCATTCAGGAGACACATTTATTCCGATATACGGGAAACTCATGAGGGTAGAATCGTCAATTGATTCAATTTTCACAAAGGCTCCACAAGTGTCTTTCTCCTAGCGGTGCAGGCTTTCCAGCTTGTTTCACTCAATCACTACTCCTTTCGCTCCCCAGGTTTCTGAGTGTGCAGTCCTCTCTCAATTCTCTACAAAGATTGAAATTTGACACACATGTCCAGGCAGGGTATTGAGATTAGAATCTATTGAGGAGAAGCTCAAAGAAGATGCTCACACCACTCCCGAACGCGAGTTTCGCAAGAAACTAATGCTTGCAATGAAACTTGGTGCTTCAAATAGCCTAGAACACATCAACGGCGAGGAAACGTGTCTTTACTACAGTTTCCCAGAGCCACAAGATGTCCTGATATCCTACCAGCACCGTCACCATTATTCCGGATCGCTTATCAATCATGTGATGAATATTGTCGAGCCGATGAACCCGCCAGCATGCCAAGAGCACGAAGAGATACATATCACAGATCAAACTCTTGCCAACTTAAAGCAACTGAAAGTACTGCATAGGCGGCCTGAAAAGACTTGGATTCTGGATTTCGAGTACGTATCTATGCCTATAAGGTGTTCGCTCATTCCACTATAGCTTGCATTCAGGCAGCTGGATAGGAAGTTGCGGTATCAAGGTATTATCGATTACGGGCTATCCACAAAGGAATTTAGGGATGCGACGTCCTAGTACTTATCAGATAAATATGGGATGATGGGAACCCTTTTCCCAAGGTGCTAGAGTAGACTCAATACCAACGAAGAGACGTCACTCCAGGTTAGAGACCGAATCATCAATGTCTGTAGTCACAACTCAGATATTTTTTAGAATAATCATCAGTTCGCTGCCAAAGACATGCAGTGTTTCCGTAAGATCTTGACTGGGACTGATGAGTTGGTACAGGACAAGGTCTCCCACGAAGGCCGCGAGAATTTCCAAACAGCCAACATCAGAACTCTTTGTGGAGAACGGTTTCGTGGTTTCCTCTGGATAACTCTTCGATTGGTACACGAATTTTTGAGCGGAGGCGAGGGGTCTCGCGGGGATTACCACACGCACTACCTGAAAAAAAGTGCCCAAAAAACGACACCTATGAGATTCGAACTCATGCTCCCGAGGGAAATGCCTGGCAGACATTTTCATGTATAGCAGGGCATCGCGTTAACCACTCCGCCAAAGTGCCTACTTTGATGACATAATGATGCAAAATTACTAGTTAACTAGTCAACTGACCACTTATTATTGAATCGACTTGCGACACAGGTAGCATAACCCATCACTTGAGGTCGTGAAGTTCGGAGGCGCATGTTTTTCTTCGGGCACCCTTAGTCCTTGTGCTCAAATAGAACAAGAAAGTGATTCACCACCAAACAGGCAACCATCAACCTATTGATTTTAAACGCATTTGTCCCAACTCTAATGCCATCTGACCAGTTCAACTAGCTGGTTTCTCTATCTACGTAGTAGACAAGAATCTCTTCAATGCCCTAGCATCTTACCTACATATTCCACATGCTAGCCCGGCCTTAGTTTACGCTAGTCCAAATTTTTCAATATTGTAGGACATGAAAACCTTGCCACTCGCTTGCTTGCTTGCTTTGTGCAATCAAATAGGGTTCGCCACACTTGGCGTAGCGAGGGTCGCTTCTATTAAAGTCTACACTTTCTATTCGCCAAATGCCAGTTCATTTATGCGTTTTGGGTGGGTAGCTAACTCGGTGTTGAATTAAGTTACTTTGTCAGAAAATTTGCAACTGGCTTCTGTGAGTTTTCACCTTTTTTTCAGAAACTTACATGCCGCCGATAAGCGATGCGAACTTGTGTACGAAACAGCCGGTAACACAAAAGATGTGAGAGATAAATTTTCGAAATGTGTTCCTGTGGAGCGAGGAGTTTCTTCAGATACTCGGTCATTTTCCCTGCAAAGTCGTGAATGTGCGAGTTCCAAGCCATGCATGCAATGGTTTTGGGGAGCTTTTTCTCGCATGCCTAGGAACATGCTGATATGCTGCAGACCTCAGCGCAGTTTCTACTCAGTGACAGTTGGAATGTGCCGATGGTTGAAAGGCCTAAATCAAATGAATGTTGTGTTAATCCTTCACGAAAAGGGCACTTTGGCGGAGTGGTTAACGCGATGCCCTGCTATACATGAAGATGTCTGCCAGGCATTTCCCTCGGGAGCATGAGTTCGAATCTCATAGGTGTCGTTTTTTTCTTTTCATCACAAGCTTTGTCTCCACTTTTTTGCAAACATTCACAAGAACGCAAGGAAATTTTTTCGCCCTCGATAAGAAATATCTATATCAGAGAGGTTTGTGTTGACAAAGGTTATTGGGAGGCACTTTGGCGGAGTGGTTAACGCGATGCCCTGCTATACATGAAGATGTCCGCTAGGCATTTCCCTCGGGAGCATGAGTTCGAATCTCATAGGTGTCGATTTTTGTCCCCCACCCTGAAATTGTATTTCCTTTCCTGGCCCAAATTCTATTAATTTACAGAGTAAACCCCTACCGATCTTTCAGAGCCGTTGGTTCAATATGAATACAGTTATTTCCCTACCAGATAGCTACAAAATCGATGTAGACAGTTGATTTCCAATACACCGCGGTGGCAATATTGACGCGTTCTCGGGGAGCCAGGCATTCCTCACTGATTTTTTTTAAGAGAAAACATGGCTAGAGAGGAAAGTTTATTGCTGATCTGTGTTACAGATGGTGTTCCTCAACCTGGCTCTGAAAGCCCACCTACCGTCTTTGTGACCTTTGACAAGGCCTAAAAGAAAAATCCTCGCGGTAGCAAGTTACTAAAAAACATAGTGAGGGGCCCAAAAAATCGACACCTATGAGATTCGAACTCATGCTCCCGAGGGAAATGCCTAGCGGACATCTTCATGTATAGCAGGGCATCGCGTTAACCACTCCGCCAAAGTGCCTTATGCTTAAAATTATCTGGATTTTTTGTGCTCTCATCTAAATGTGTTTTGATTCGGGTTCAGCTTTCACAAAATAAGAAGGAAAGCTACATTTCGAGGATGTCTTTTCTAATCTAAAGGTTTCGAAAGCTAAAAACTTTAGGCATATTCAACCTTTTCAATATCAAAATTCAAGAAGTTCACATAGGTCCGATTCACGGCGATCTACCCCTACAGTAAGATACTGGCAAAATTCGAGGTCTCCCTTTGTACCTTATTACAATTTTATGGCCATAATTACATCCTTTTTGGAGGCAAAGAAAATCAATTAGACATGATCCCTAATTAAAGCATCAAACATTTCAAAAACAGGTCGTCATACCACAGTGAGAAATAGACTTTGAACACTGGCAATATGGTTAGTGTTTGTCAGCGGAAATAGTGCTGAATGCAAACAAACTTTTAGCACTCCATCCCTTTTCCGGGTATGGCGCAGAAATTTTTAATAGACCAGAACTTTTGAATAAATTACGCACCTTTAGCAAGGCATCTCGACATTATTCTAAACGTAAGGCGCGTGCTATATTAAGTTTTGAGATTTTGGGTTTTCCACTTCTCGAAATGACAAGGAATAATATAGTGGTACCTATTTCTAGTTATTGTGAAGAGAGTGCCTTTTTCTATTTAATGTTAGCGTACTACGTAGGGAAGAAGTATCAAGCATGGCTTAAATGTCAACTAGAACAGTTGTGTTTTTACACGAATATGCACCTCTCACATACGGTGTCTTGAAAATGTGGTCCTTGATTCTCCAAATTTAAGATTTAAAATCGATATAAGTAGGAATTCAATAAATCTATTTTTTTTTTCATTCGTTTGTGCTCGCATTCATCGCCTGTTGAGTGGGAGAGTGAAGAAAGAAGGCATTGGGTGCACGTACCTTTTGTATGATTATGGCATTCAACATGATCGTACAAAAGATACCCAATTCGCATAATTTTTGGGTTTCTGGGAAAATCCGCTTGATGGACAGACCAATCCCGACCTACAACATTGAAAAGCTAGCGGGCAGGCTCGGGTGTCAGCTGACGGAGACTCGAGATGAGTAATTTTCACCTCTACAGCGCTATGTTCCCTATTCTGTCCCTACCGGGATCAGGGAATTAGAGAATTTAGTGAATCTACTCTCTATGTAATGGGGTTGAGATTTCGTGTCTCCCTGAGCTTTATTTTGTCGAGTCTCCTTGAGCTGATAGCTCGGGAGGCTACATATCTTCGATTAGTACCCCGTAGTCTTGGGGTAAATTAAAACGGGTTTTGATTATTGAAGGTAGGATATCTTCAGAGGGCGCATGAAGGAAGGAAAAAAACGACACCTATGAGATTCGAACTCATGCTCCCGAAGGAAATGCCTGGCAGACATTTTCATGTATAGCAGGGCATCGCGTTAACCACTCCGCCAAAGTGCCTTGGTAATATACAAAGACAAACAGCTTACAAAATCCAAGGCCTGTGGAAAGTGCCAAGTTACCTGCCTGTCTTGTGAAACACTCTCCACTCTTAGCCGATTGCTGGCCTGGGCGCTTTTCTTCGATTCGACAGCTGGCCGGTTCTGAATTTTTTTTGGAATTCTGTTCCCAAAAATTTTCGATATCCAAATTGGCTTCTTTTGGCAATTTAATAGTGGACGCGGCTATTAAAAACGCATGGATACTTCACACTCTAAACAGTGTTGAGCAGGAATTTCTGCCTTCAAACAGGCGAACTTTTGCCTCACCAATACTCCAAGCCTCACAAGATACCAGAATCCCGACTATGTCATTGGAATATCCCAATAACTCCTGGACATTCGTATTGCGCCCGAGGCTGGGTTGCGTCAAGGTGCCAGTTACCGCCGTTTGCGCTGGCACGAGGAAAACGATTAGGCGTTCGGATTACACAGGAAGTCGCCTATTGCTAGTGGTGATGTTCTCAAAGGTAAATAGCTGTTGTGTAGCCTCTAAAAGTAGAAGATCACAGATTTCCGTACCTCTACTGAGTGACTGCGTAGTAGACTTCCGCAAAGCTCGAAAAGCCCGAAACCCGACCCGACTCAACCCGCAAAAGGGTCGGGTTTCGAGCTTTTCGAGCTTTGCGGAAGTCTAGGTATTGGTCTGCTCGTAGGTGTTGTCAAGTGATAATATAGTTAACGAGTCAACATGGTCCAAAGGTAAACACAAGTAACAATGTATGGTTGAAGACGAAGAACTAAACTAAGTACATGAGGGAGTGTCCTTATATATCCTTCGTTCCTACTCCCTGAGATATACTCCCTGGAGTATATCTACTGGAGTCACGGTGACTTCCTACTCCTGCTTGGCATCGGTAGTGGGTCACGGTCACGTGATCTGGGCGGTCAAGGGTACTCCAAGTTTTCATAGAGTAGAATTGCCATTTGCTTGTCGCAGGCCGAAAGTGGCTGCCTTGTCACGGTGCGAACCGTGATGCTTAGTTAGAGGAAGATCACGGCACGTGATCT